GCGAGGCATTGTCCAGGTTCTGGTTCTCCAGCTGCTCCTTCAGCAGATCGATCTTCTTCTGGGCCTCGTCCTTTTGCTTCTTGATTTTCTCGCTGTCGCGTATGGCCATCAGCGAGTCGGAGATGGCCTTGTCGCGCTCGTGGCGCATCTTATCACAGAGCGTCTTCACGGAGTCGCGCTCCTGGACGATCTTCTCGCGCTGCGAGATGGCCCAGTCGCGCACTCGCTTCGCCTCATCGGCATCCTGGCCGGCACGATCCACCTCGGAGAGGGCCTTCTCCAGGCTCTTGCGTAGTTTTTCCAGCTCCTTGCTGTCCTCCTTGCTGCTGGAGGAGAACTCCTTCGACCAGGAGCTCTCACGCGACTTGAGCAGGTCGCGCTTCTTCAGCTCGGCATTGGCCAGCTGCAGCGCCTTGATCTCGGTGCGGCACAGCTGCTCGTCCTTCTTGAGACGCTCGATCTCCTTGTTGGCCAGCACCAGGTCGTCGGACATCTTCTGGGTCTCCTGCAGCACGTTGTCCTTCTCGGAGAGCAGCTGGTTCAGCTCCTCCGTGAGCGAGACCACGTTCTTGGTCTCCTTGGACAGCAGCACCTTCAGCGTCTGGTTCTCGTCCCCCCGCTCTCGATAGTAGTTGCGCTCCTTCTCCAGCTCAATGTACGACTTCTTGTACTTCTCCCGCTCCACCACCAGCATGCTGCGCTCCTTCTTCAGCTCCGCCAGCTTGTCGCTGCAGCTGCCATCGCAGGTGGAGGGCTTCCCAAAGTAATACGGATTGCCGCCCGCTCCCTGAGGCGCTCCCTGTGCGCTGCCATTCTGATTCTGGTTCTGGCTCTGCTGACTTTGGTTCTCCAGCAGGATCAGCTTCCGCTTGAGCCGCGCACTCTCCTCCACCATGTCCGTGAACTTCTTGCTGTCGGCCACGTAGTGCTCCTGGTAGAGATTGAGGTCGGTGGCCAGCTCCTCGCAGCGACGCTTTGTGTGCGAGTGCTGCTGCCGCAGCGTGCTCAGCTCCCGCACCGCCACCTCATACTGCGACTGCAGCAGTTCGTACTTCTTGCCGTTCCCGTGTCCGCTGCCGGACACCCCCACAATGGCTGTGCTGTTGATGTTGACGTCCTTGGTGGGGCCATTGTTGTTGGCCATATTGGCGGCCGTGGTGCTCCCACTGGAGTTGGACGGCGGACGAAGTGTGTTGTCATAGCCCACATACTCCGAGCTTTCTTCTGCATGAAAACCAAAAGTACAGCTTCAGAGATTATTCGCATGGGATTAATGAACGATCCACTCACCCTCTTGACTGCTCGTGCTGGTCAGCGAAAGATCTCCCGATGCCATCTTTGCCATCACAACATCTTTTGGACAATGCACAACATATAGATGAAGCTGCAAGGGGAAAAAAGCCAAAAAACAAATTAAAAGGGAAATTAATATCAAAGTTATTGCAGGATATAAAGTAGAAAGATCACGGTAGATCACTTCCTCCCATTTTTGGCAAAAGATATTTAAATTAAAACCAAAAAATTAATCAACGAAATATCAATCTAGTTACTAGAGAATTTCATCTTAAGGTCAGCTCACTTTTGTTTTTATTATGACCTTCAAATGGAAACTAACTTCTGGTTCAAAATTGTATCAAAATACATACTGAAATAGACATATCATTATGTACATACATGGATCAATAAAAGGTTTATTTTTAGTTTATTTTACCAAATTTATGAAATATATTTCGTCATCTACTCGTATCTAACAGCTGTTTTTATCAGATTAAAAGATAACCAAAACTTTGATTTATTATAAATGAAGTGATACCAAAGGCAAAGAAATCCAAAAACACAAATTAAACATCCAAATAAAATATTTGCTTTTAAATCGATCTTTTAAATACCTCTTAAAATTTATTTAAGGATTAAGCCGAAGTAACTACCGCCATTTAGAGAATTACTTGCAATTACTAAACTGAAATTACTACCGAAATATTAATAAAATAAACATTAAACGGTTCCCATTCAATCTCTACAGTGGAAATATTTACTCCTATTGTTTAAAGAGAAGCCGAAAGCAATCACTGTGCTGCATTAATTATCCATGGCATGGCCACTGAACGCTCATGCCGCTCCATGGGAGAGGAAAACCAAAGTTATGGAAAACCAAAACTTTCACAAATTTTGTGAAACTGCGATTTTCACAATTGAACAAATAAAATTTAAATACATTCAACAAGCCGCAAGAAAACGAAACAAAAAGAAAGAAAGAAACGCTTGCTATGGGACCGAAGCTTTGGATACACTTGCAGATCGGTAGTTTCTATGGCAGCTACTATATGATATAGTAGTTTGATTTTTAAGATATTAAATTTAATTTGGTTCAGAGTCGAGGCTTTAGATACCCTTACAGATTGAGGAATTTACAGCGAATTTGGCCTATTGATTTAAATTGCCTGAACTTTGTAAAAGATATAACAGTTTTACTAGACAATTTCAAATAAATTTCCCAAGAGTAAAATGACACGAGCAGAGAGCATTCAACACGAGCTAATGATGGATAAGGTATATCCAACTGGAAGGAATACCATTCGGGAATCTGAATTGATCTGTATCTGTGCTATAGATTGGGGGCTTGGAATAATCCACATACTCCCATCCAAGGGTATCCACACACAGAGGAGGAGAATCGTGGTATGGGCAGACATGGGCCAGCCAGAAACTTCATTTCGGTGCTTTTAGGGGATAGGTAGGAGGGCTAATGAGTTCCCTTGCCACGATCGAGAGCGCGCGGCTGCTTGTTGCGAAAAAGAGAGATACTTATGAGAGAGTAAGGGTACGGGGCACGGGGTACGGGGCTTGTGTGGTAATTAAGCAAAATGTATAAGAGCATCGGGCAGCAGGCAGAAACTAAACCAAAGAATTAATTGAAGCAGCCAAGCAGAAAGCGTAAATTAATAGCAATACAAGTATGTATGTACATACATCCCACAGCTACACACATATGGACATGCATACATACATCTATACATGTATAGTATGTATCTTATAGATGTACAAATGTACATATGTACATACGGGTAAAACAAGTTGCTCGAATGAGGGAGAAAGAAAACGGGGAATTATATAAACTGCAAAACATAAGTATTTACTGTTGCTTACCTTCTAATCAACACTGTTATGGGTGTTGGTGTTCGTATTGGTGGCACTGTTGCTGTTGGCAGTGTAAACACAGTAATTGTGCAACGGAGGAGGAGGAGCAGTGTCCCAGACAGAACAACAGCTCTACGGGCACGTGCCGTATATCACAATTTTCTCGCACTAAACATCGGGCCAGAGACACAGAGTATTATATTTTTTCCACCATCCAAATGGACATAAAATGCTGCTGCTGGCCTACACGCACGCAAACGCAACAGCTGAACGGGGTGGGGGAAACTCACAGAGAGAGAGTGAGCGAGTGTGAGAGAGAGAAGAGAGAGGCGAAAGAGAGAGCTCCACCCCAACAGGCGCAACAGGCGAATGCGACAGAATGATTGATACTGCGACTGCGGCTCCGAACTCTGATTGAGACGAGACGAGATGTGTACGGGATGATCTTAGATCTTATTTTCTGGATTTCACAAGCAGCGCATCTACACAAATAGTTCACCCCGGAAGTGCGGGGAAGAAAGGTCAAACTCCAAATAGCAAGGACGGAACGCACTCAAAACTCGAAACTTGTCTTGTAGTAGCTTGAGTAACAAGTCTGGGACGAAAACACCACACAATCACTACGCGAACGATGACGAATCAGCACCCGAAAACGTTAATAAAAGCGAACAAAAACTAACAAAAAAAAAACAATGCAAACTAGAGGTGTCAAACCATCGAGGGCATCGATGGTATCGATGTTTTTCTGCTATCCGATAGTATCGACAGTTTTAAGATTAACATGATAGTATCGAGCTACAGTCGTTGCGCTTTGAAATGTTTGGATTGGCTGCTATAAAATACGAAGACAAATTTTTAAACAAATCAACAGGTGGCAACTAATTCTTACAATGGACAAGTTCCTGAAAGGTTTAAATGGTTTTTTAATAATTATTTGAGCCCGATACTATCACGATAGTATCGATTTTTGTTTAACAAACAAATAATTTTATCCGATAGATACGTACAATTTCTACAAGATTGGCAAGTTTTCAGAAGTCTTTTTTATTGTATTATTAACATATTAAGGTTAAAAAAAAACAACATAAAACGAATGTGACGTCGTTTTTGTGGCGTTGCCAGACTCGTGCAATTCGTAGTTGCTGCGGGCGCTGTATAATCAAAATATCGATAATTGGAACGTCCGGGAAGCTTAACTTTGCGTTGCTTTTCGTTGTTCGCAAGGGCAGCAAAAACTATTTTAAGCTCTGTAGAGTACTGATGTCAATGATGTCAAATTGCTTGTATAAAGGCTGTTCGTGTAAAAACCAACAGATGGCGCTTTACCGGCTGGAAATTTCAAAAACTAAGTGAATAAACAATAATAATTATGTTTTTATGTGAAAAACACCCACTTCAATAAAATTAGGAAAATAATGGCAACGAAAGGTTTAGTCCGAGACAACTCGACTGGAGTTCTCCATTAATAAATATTATTAAATATTAATGCGAATTTTTAATTGAAACATTTAAAATTTTCTATTATTGTAAGCTATTACTGTAGTCGGAGGCATTCACATTCTCTTTTGTCATAGAGAGCGTAAGTTCTCAGTTTGGTCTGTATGATATTGAAGAATTGACTAGCTTAATATATGTATGTTTCCTTCTTTAACCTCATTAAAATTCTCAGCACTTCTCCGATATTTCCCCAAGGTCGTGTTTTGACATTATCCTTAAGTAGTCGAGTTGTATTTGTTCAGTCGGCAGATTTCAATCAAATCATCAATATCCATCCGAATATCCAATCGGAGTTCCTCGAGGCTTCTGAGTCCTCCCAGGCCCTCTAGGGTGTAGCCTTAAAATAATAATTCGACAATTCTATGTATTTTCGTATCAAAATATATTTAAAATTAGTATCAAAATAAGTTCCCTTGGTGTGAGCTCAGAGCTAACGAGTATATAAAGTTTCAAATCAAATCTCAATGCTGAGTCCCGAAGCCCAGCCCCGATTCCCAGTCCCGAAGCCCAGCCCCGAATATTCAAAGACACTGCCGACCCCGACGACGCCAAAGACCCCGTTCTTGGTTCTTGGCAACCAGCCAATGCCGTGGAAATACATATGTGAACCTGTAGGATACATACAAGTATTGTAGTTTGAGAAAGATCAACATATTGGTTTGATAATACGAACCTGCAGTTTCTATAGTGTATTTTGTTATGCCATTGAATGTGCCCCCATTTAATCGCCGAATTCTAATTTTGAATATTCCAAAGTGTGCCACTCGTACCTGTTGGATTGTTGAGCGTATTACTTGTACATACCATTTACATATGTACATGCATATGTATGTATGTTCTTGTACTCACTTCTCGCTTGTTAATCGTTCCTGTAGCTTAGTGTAGCAGTCCTCTTAGTCATTTCTGTCCTCTGAGTGTCCTTGGGGATTCATCACCCATTTTTTTTTTTTTTTTTTCTAAAAAATAATCACTTTAAACTTAAATCTAATTGACAAAAAAAAACCGAAATAAATATTTGAAAATTTAGAATTTTGTGTTCACACCTGGAGGTGCCGAACTATACTGATATTTTTCCAGCAGTCTCACACGATCCCAAATCTGACATATGGGGTTTGGTTGGGCATGGATTACTTGTTTAATGTTTTTGTTGATTCCAGGGTATATCCCATATAGATCCAACACCAAGCAGAAGCATTATGCTGCCTAAATTTACTACACACATAATATAAAACAATTTAATATGGATCAGCTGGTGCCAACCAAGTAACTTTAAAAATAAGTCACTCGAGAAGATTGATCTTCAAATCAAGATTATTTCCATGTATATTTCCTTCGAATGTTACATGGTGGTGCTGCGACTGTGCTCAGAGAGGTGAAGCTGCCCGAGGATCAGGTAACGCCGCAGCCCTTTAATACTAGAGACTGGAGCCCTCTAAGTGCACATCTGAATATAGTGAGAATACCTCAAGAATACTTAATTACAAGTAAAAATTGCGCAAACACTAATTAGAACTTTATTAAAGATTTCAAAAGACTTTTGTATGGCTATCAGTGCACCTTTTTACTTCATAGATTACAGAAATAGGACAGTGAAAGCTGACTTGGGCGGGCAACCTTTTTCCAGTATATGGAGAGTAGAAAAAGAGAGGCAGACAGAGAGTGATACAGGGCAGCCAGTGCCTAAGAGCACTCTCCCTGTGCCTTGTATATTATTCATTTTTATCATCAATAATTCTAGCTCTTGATCTTGATAGCAAACCAGAATCTTATCACACAATGAAACGTTGTTGGTGGGGGCTGTTGTGCTGTGTGTTTTGTGTTCCATCCCGGAATCGCAGCCGGCAAACAGCCAGTTCGTTCTATCAATTTATTTATTAGGCGAATCCAAGTGATTTCCACCACCCCGCCGTACCCGTATATAGCTGCGACTGACATCAGGTTCAATTGAAATCATTGGGGCTGGCTGCTCAATTGAGCCTCAGTTGGTTCCATCTGTGCTGTCGACCGGTCGCATCATGTGTCCCATTTGTGCCCTGCTGCTGCTGCTGGCCGCGCTGGTGGCCTTGGTCTACATATTCCTGACCTGGAACTTTAGCTACTGGAAGAAGCGTGGCATTAAGTCGGCCAAGGCATGGCCCTTTGTGGGCAGCTTTCCCAGCGTCTTCACCCAAAAGCGGAACATGGCCTACGACATTGATGATATCTATCGGTAAGGAAAAGTTACGTTACACTCAGGCTTAAGTATTTTCCCAATTTTGGCTCCACTTGCAGGCAGTACAAGGACACGGATAGGGTTGTGGGTGTGTTCAACACACGAGTCCCACAGCTAATGATTCTGTGTCCGGAATATGCACACAAGATTTTTGTGGGCGAGTTCCGTAGTTTTCACGACAACGAATTTGGAAAGTTTGTAAGTGAAGGTACTCGTAGATCTGTTCTTAGCTCTCGCTACACCGCAGTCTTTTTCTCTCTCTATAGGCAAACAAAAAGGTGGACCAGATCTTGGCCAACAATCCATTTGTACTAATGGGAGAGGAGTGGAAGGAGAGGCGTGCGGAGATAACACCCGGACTATCAGCCAATCGGGTAAGTAAGTGCCGATAGTGCTGCTGTATAATTACGTGGGCATATTTGTAGCGTAGTGTATTTTGACGTTGTGATGTATCTAATAGCAAACTGGGAGTGTCGCTCTAACTGATTGAACATCTGAATCGCATAGCGTCGTATGCACTGTGCAATTGAATAAATCTCGGGCAGCGAAGTCGGCACACGCAGAGCGTACAAACTTCGTGCGGTTCGGCTCGTCTACCGCCGCGGCAGAGAACCATCTTCGTGTGCCCTTTGCACAATTGCTCGGCTGCCGCAGCGGCAGAGAAATAAGCAACGTATTTGCCTTCGTGTCTTCGCACATAGACGCACTAAAGCATGTGAGTGACTGCGTGCCGATGCCTGGTATAGACTATCAAAGGAGAAGCAATCCAATGAAATATAAAAACTGCGCTGTCAATTGAAGGTTGTTGGTTCTCGGAGAATTTTAGAGCTTTGATTGAGTTATTTTCTTGGGTTAAATTGCATCTTCTTACCCACAAATTTTCAATTCTCTCTCGCGCTCTCTCCCCAAAAAAGGTCAAGGCCGTCTATCCAGTGTCGCAGAGCGTGTGCAAGGCCTTTGTGGATTACATCAAACGACAGCAGCGCATGGCCACCGCCGATGGCAACAATGCCAAGGATCTCTGCCTGTGCTACACCACCGAGGTGGTATCCGACTGCGTGCTGGGCATCTCCGCCCAGAGTTTCACGGACACCCCCACGCCGCTGGTGGGCATGATTAAGCGCGTGTTCGAGCAGTCCTTTGGCTTCATCTTCTACACCATGGCCGCGAACCTCTGGCCACCCATTCGCAAGCTGTACAGCGTGGCGCTGTTCGCCAAGGATGTGGAGCAGTTCTTCTTCGACATCATGGAGAAAAGCATCGTTCTGCGGCGAGAGAATCCCAAGCAACAGCGCGATGACTTCCTCAACTACATGTTGCAGCTGCAGGACAAGAAGGGCTTGAACACCGTGGAGCTGACATCGCACACGATGACATTCCTCACCGATGGCTTCGAGACGACGGCTCTGGTGCTCGCCCACACGCTCCTGCTGCTGGGCCGCTATCCGGCGGATCAGCAGAAGGTGCGCGATGAGATTGGCCAGGGAGATCTAACCTTTGAGCAGCTGAGCGAACTGCCCTACATCGATGCCTGTATTCACGGTAAGGAAACACTGACCTCTGCCCACCGAGGCAGTACTCCTCCCAATTTATTTCCATGGTTTCTGAACTCCCAGAAACTTTGCGTATTTTTACGCCCCTGCTATCCGCCCGCAAATTGGTGACGCAGGCCCATGACTTTGTGAACAAGAATGGTGTGACCGTGCGTGTCCAGCCCGGAGATGTGGTGATCATTCCCGCCAACTCAATGCACCACGATCCTGAGTACTACGAGGAGCCGGAGGCATTCAAGCCGGAGCGTTTCCTGGAAGTCAATGGCGGTGTGCGCAAATATCGGGAAGCTGGCGTCTACTATGGCTTCGGCGACGGACCGCGCGTTTGTCCAGGTGTGTTTCGGTCTTTGTCAGTCTCAGATCAGAATGAACCGATCCTTCTGCTTACAGGCATGCGGTTTGCACTCACCCAACTCAAGGCCGCCTTGGTGGAGATTGTGCAGAACTTTGAAATTAAAGTCAATCCGAAGACACGAACGGACAACGAGCTAGATGACACCTACTTTATGGCCACCCTGAAGGGCGGCATCTGGCTGGACTTTGAGACGCGCAAATAAACCATCAGCCCCACTGGATCGATCGTTTTTTCAGTTGTGGACAATTTCAATTTAATACGAGTAATTACATAGAATTTTCACCAGCAACGAACCACCGATTCGAATCACTAATCTCGACTCAGGGCTAATTGAACAAGGGGCAGCACTTTGATCGAGGACAGATCCGCCAGTATGGCCTCGATGTTGTCCAGGGAAGCCACCTGCATGAGGCTCTCCTTGCGAAAGCTTAAAATAATAATGGCAAACAGTGGCAGAATCTCCAGGCTATCAAAGCCCAGTATCTGAAATGATTGAACGGGGTTTGAAGTCTTCCGATCGAAAGCAGTTTGAGAAAGTTACGCACCAAGTCCCAAAGTATCAGAAGCTGATCGGGTGGCAGGTGTCCGGAAAAGGCGCGCATTAGCCACTTGAAGACAACGCGCAAACTGTAAAGATTGCAGGCTGATTAGAATCCTTTCCAAAGTGTCGTTTGTGTGTACTCACGGCTGTATCTGTAGCTCACGGAAATGCGACCAGAGCTGCGGCTCATAGGTCTGCAGCAGCTTCTCGAACAGCAGACAGAGGCTGACAATTCCCTGGGGATGCGTATTGATGGTGGTCAGTCGGTGGCAGTATCGTATATAGAACGCACGGAATGTATAGTACAGATTAACCGGCGAATCGTACAGATAGCAGAAGGGAGCGGCGAACATGCAAATCCCATGGAAGGGCACCACGCCCGAGGGTGGTCCCTCGTAGGTTCTGCCCTTCACCGGAAACGCCTCGTAGTCCACACAGTTGCCAATGTCCGTGTCGCGGGAGAAGCAGAGCAGCACCTGATAGAGCACATCCTCGAACACAAAGTACTGATCATCATTGGAGGCCGTCAGCTGGATGTCCTTGAAGACCAGCTTGTCCACAATGTGATCCGTGGTCCAAACTGTATTCCGCAGCTTCTGCCAGTGTTCTATGTCCTGCGGCAGCGAGAGATTATCTACAGATAGTGCTTAATTAAAAGTTTGCCTATCCCTTACATAGTCGTGCAGCTTGCTATCCAGCACAGCGGCCCAGAGAGCGCCTCGATATGGGGCCGGAGTGCAGCCCTTCTTCAGGAAATGCTGACACATGGGCGCATGCCGACCCTCCAGGATGCGCTGGCACTGCGTCGTCAGATCCGGCACACCCAGGTAGCCGTCGCTGCGCAGCAGATCCGCGAAGTGTGTCCGCAGCTCAAAGAGATTCTTCACGGGCAGAGCAATGTGCGAGAATTCCCATTGTGGAATTTGGCTGTGGGTTAGGGAAAAGCTGAGAGTGCAGAGCATGGACTGGCGCTGAGCGGCTGCTTACTCTGTGTTTTCGGTGGTCTTGGCAGGTCCTTTCAGCGAGAGCAACACCTCTAGCAGATCCTTGGGTGCGTACACAGGTCGATAGTTGGCTAGATCTGAAAATTTCATTATAATTCATTCATTAATTGCATCGGAAATGCATCTGTGACTGTGTGCTCTCACCCATGCTGTAGTTGCTCAGCTCATTCCATTTGGCCATAAAGTCCTCCCGATCTGCGCTGATACGTGGCTGTCCATGCAGGGGAACCTTCAGCTCCGTGCACATGGCATTCAAGCTCTTGCGCACCCGTCGATCCCATAGTACTCCGGCTCGCTTCAGATAGCCCAGAGGATCACTCAGCGTGGTTTTCTGCAAGCGAAAAGGAGTCGACTTTACGTTAGCAGTCGTCATTGTGCACGGTCTGTGTCTCTTGACCGCTTCGTCCCGGGCTGCTTAACAGCCTTTCAAAGTGTACGCAACAGCGCTGTTAACATCACAGAGTAACAGCGTGCTAGCGCGCTGCGTTAACAGCTGTTACAATGTTTGGACTCTCTGTTAGCGCTCTCTGTTAGCGCTCTCAGATCTGGCTCAAGCTCGCTCTCGCGATCCACATGGCTCACGAGCGGTCTTAGCTTGTAAGCTACAACTTACGGTTAATTACGCCACAATCATCGATCCAAGCGGCCGTGAATTTATTTAGTGTATTATACCAGAATATATCTATACGATATTGTCCCCACCGATCAATTGTGTATATTCGTATAGCTGCGCTACTCACCGATAGCTGTTTGGTGGTGGTGGCCTCTGGCTTGCACAGACGACTGCGCACCAGATTGTAGACAATGTTGCGTATCTCCGTCTCCAGGCCGGCCCCCTTGATGGCCTCCTCCAGCGTGTTGCGCATATCGATGGGATCCACATTGGGGCTGCAGGCGAGGCGCTGCAGCTCCTTGTAGACAGGCTCATAGCATTTGGCGGTTTTGATGGCCGTTATAACCCTGGCGGTCATGTGGTGAATGCTCGCATCCTGCAGCTCCTCCATTGTCGTTGCTGCTGCTGCTGCTGCTGCTCTACTCTGTCCTGCCCAAGCAGGAGCTAGCTGTCCAGCTCGCTCTCAGTTCTGCTTCAGTGCGGTGCCGCGTTGTTTGGCGCCAGCTCAGACTGCCTCTAATGCTTACTAGTTACTAAATATATTGACTTTGTTTCGGAGTTGTGACTAGCAGCCCCAAAACGTTGAGACTTTCTAACACACTCGTTTGACTTTTATCGATCAAACATTGTCGCCTGCTTTGATTTGGATTTGAGCCCCAACCGACTGACTGACTGACTGCATCCGGAGCTGTCGTCGCTTCATAGTTACGGAATGCACACACTTGTTTGGTTTCACTCGATTCGATTCAATTCGATTCGAATTGGTTCGGCTTTGGCTTTTGGCTTTTGGCTAGCCGCCCCTCGCAACCAAAAATTCCATTATAAATACAGCCAAAGGCGCGTGAAATTGCCTTCGATATATGTGTACACCCACAGACTGGCATTGCACAATGTGGCCAAGAGGTAGCTCTCAGCTCTTTTGCTTTGGCATCTGTCATCTGGGCCAACGAGTTGCCGAAATGATTGACGCTGCTGCGCCTCTCCTGTTGATTGCCATGTGGAAAATGAAAAGCCCACTCATAATGGGCAACGGTTGGAAGCCCAAAATATTCCCATACTATTTTACACAGACCTCACATATACCTAAAGCTTGTTCCTGGCGCATGTCCAGGCCCATTGCGCATAGTGTTCGCTCCAACATCAACTTGGTCGTTCACTTGTGTTTCTCCAGGATATATAACATGTCGACCTGATTGAGAAGGGCATCCAAGTAATAGAAAAAGCAGCAAATAGGATAGGGAAATACCCTTAGGAATATATAAAGTTCTATTCATATCCCTCTTGGGTATACACACAAAAGTTAAAGCTCCCAAAGCCATGCAATTTCTATATAAAATAATTGGAATAACAGAGGTTCCATTGAGGGTTCAGTTACCATTAGCCGTGTACCCATTATATAGAAGAGAAAAAGCCAAAAGCGGAGACACGTTCCCCGGCTGTGTCCAGTTCAGTCAGAGTTCTGATTGTCGGACGAGATGCACCACGTTGCATAAACTATTTAAATCAATTTCGGTTCGTTCAGCCGAACGATTCATACACATGTACATACATACATACATATGTACATATGCTTTGCATATTTATGTACATGCGGAACATTTGTAATTGAATTTCTTGCGGCCCTGTTCGAAGATGCGGCCCAATTGGGGGCTATGCAACAATCATTTATCGAGGAATGGAAATGAATTAGTCAATGAAAATTGTCCAGCGATCCGGAAAGAGTTGTAGCCCTACCTGATGAGAATTTAATTCAATTTAAGATGCTCTAAGATGCTTTGATCTTTCTTTCTCAAAAGAAAAACCCAATACGATTGACTGATCATTGAAAAGTCGAATTAAAACCTAAATTATGGCAATTCTTTGATGCAATTACGAAAATAATAAGCGTCCACATACTGCTTCCTATATGCTTCCCATTTACCATCCACCTGGATGCTTCAAATTGTTAAATATTTTCGCTGTGAACCACACTGACTGCGCTCCTGGCTAATACCATTTGTTTTGGTAATTACATCGTAAATCTTGCCTTAAATTTCATGTCAGCAACGAAATTAGAACTTGTGCCGCAGTCGTGGTCTATTTTTGCTGGGGGCAACACATCATTTTTTGTTGTTGTTTTTTGTTCTTAAATATGTATGTAAAAACAATCGAGCCGCACTGAACCCCGTTTTGCACGCCCCCAGCAGCTGAACCTCCTGTCTGGGGACACATTCCAAAAGTGTTTCACGTTTTGTCATAAATAATAAAAATCAAATGACCATCAAAAGTTGCTGCTGTTGCTGCTGCTGCCTTTGCCAAAAAATGCCGCCGGAAGGTTACCCACAGATACAGAGAACAGCGAACAGAGAACAGAGAACTACAACATCCAAGTTTCCATCCCCATGCCCGAAACAAACACACTTGGCCGGCCTGTCCATCTTCCTTGATGTCCATTTGCCAGTGCCCGAATGCCTGTTTGTTTGTTTTAAAGCAAAAATATAAAACCAAATCAACATTTTTGCGCAGAGCGATAGAGAGAGGAGAGAGAGAGAGAGAGCCCCACAATCGCATCATCGCAGCATTGGGGCAGGGCAGCAGGGCGGCGGTTAACCGCAGAGATCTTGTGGAACTGTGGGCAGGCCACAGCAGCACCAGTGGGCATCTGGCCCACTCACGATCATATGGACAAAAATTGCTATAAAGTACTAAAAATACAATTACCGTGAGAAAATCGCGCTGATTTTGTGACTGATTGTGAAGACGTTTATAGTCGATTTTTAGTGACTGAGTGACCGAACGACAGACAGACAGACAGACAGACACATACACACTCTCCGTTATGTGGGGGAGGATGCTGGTACACACACACATTTGGTAGGGAGTGTGTGTGTGTGTGTGTGTGTGTGTGCTGCTGCTCTTTGCATAACTGTGGCGTGGCGTGCGCTGCGTTGTGGCAAGCGGAAAAAAAAGATGATGGAAGAGACCTGATGACGTCGTCGATGCTTTGGCCCGACCTTAGACATCAGCCGACACCAAGCCACCCCCCTGCCACCAGTGTGCACCTGTAACACTTTGATCTGATTGAGATTTTTGCGTCTGGGCAGAATCAGTCTGCGGGACTGCACCCTCTCCAGCCCTCCCCCACAACCAGCCGCATTCCGATGGCGCGGTTAATAAATTGTTGCGCCAAAAGCTGAAAGCCGAAAGCCGAAAACCGAAAGCAGCAATACATATGTATGTGGATGAAAGTACTTACCCCCCTGTGAAGGATGGACAGATGGATGGATGAGGCTGCTACTGCCACGCCAGCTCTGCCTCGGCCAGCGATGCTGCTGCTGCTGCTGTTGCTGCTGCCTTCTGACTTCTGCCTCTGCTGAGGTGGGCTGCTGCTGCTGCTGCTGCTGCTGCCGCTGCTGCGTGACGCTTCCACTAAGCAAAATATGCCGTTTATAAATAATGATCTTGGCCAGACGATCGGTTTAGTGCGCGCCCGCAGGCCAACGCAGTTGGAACGCATTCTAGAACAGCAGCAGCAGCAGCAGAAGCAGAAGCAGCAGCAGCAGGCCATCTATTCAGTTGGAGATCGGAATTGAAGATACACGAACAGATCCGCGCGCAGCCCCACACACACGCACACACACACAGATACAAAAATGGTATCTATCCGGTTTATTTTCATTGATTGTGCAATCAGCCGTGCCAACGGATTAACTTTTACGCTTAACGCTTAATGCAGGAGGACGATGAGAAAATGGACATCATGCGCAAGGCATTCCAAATGTTCGACACACAAAAGACGGGCTTCATTGAGACGCTACGCCTCAAGACGATCCTCAATAGCATGGGTCAGATGTTCGAGGAGAGCGAACTGCAGGCGCTGGTCGATGATAACGATCCCGAGGACACCGGCAAGGTGAATTTCGATGGCTTCTGTGCCATTGCCGCCCATTTCCTGGAGGAGGAGGATGCCGAGGCCATACAAAAGGAGCTGAAGGAGGCCTTCCGCTTGTACGATCGTGAGGGCAATGGTTACATCACCACCTCCACCCTCAAGGAGATCCTGGCCGCCCTCGATGACAAGCTCTCGTCCAGCGATTTGGATGGCATCATTGCCGAAATTGACACGGACGGCTCTGGCACTGTGGACTTTGATGGTGCGTTCTGATTTCCATCCTTCCCATATAGATGTCAAATTAATCCGCGTAATTTTCTTACAGAATTCATGGAGATGATGGCGGGCGAGTAGGCGGGCGTCTGGGGGTAATCATTATTTGCTGACATACACAAAAACCAACGTGGAAAAAGAAGCTTTTGGGTTTAATAATAATTTTTTTATTATTTTTAAATAAATTAACTAAACGCTTTCGTACAAAACTTTAGTTCTTGTTTAGGTCTATGCGCAATACTCAACAAAACAAAAACAAACAAAAAATGAAAAATCAAAACTGAAAATTGAAAATTGAAAATTGAAAACTCAAAACTGAAATATCGCATTACACATCCATAATCGGTCGGTATACATCTATATCTATATATATATGTGTATATATATAGCTTACGAACTGCTCCTATGGGATATAGCGTTTAGTGTCTAGTTGTAGCTTAAACAAAAGGATTACTCGATAAGGCATACATAAGTTAAACAGTTAGAGATACTACTCGCATATAAGTATTTACAGCATCGCTTATAACGATAATATATAATATATATGTATATACCATATGTGTATGTATATGTATGATTAGCGGCCTATAAACATCTTTGCCATATTTACACAAAACAAAAACAAAAGAACCAGGACTCACGATCGCTATATAGTGTATATATATATATATATATAAATATATTTATGTGTATGTAAATGGAGGGTGGCGGGGGTAAAAAGTCTAGCTCCCTGGCTTCTGTCTTTACACTCTGTCTTAAGGCAACTAATTCTGTGGATTTTACATAAGGCAGCATTTTAGTATCTTTTGCACAATGCGGCTAAGACTTAACTTAAACATTAGAATACAAAACAGAACATACATACAAGTAGCACATACATATATGATGCATGTTTATATGCTGTATTACCTCAATTGTTCCGATCAGTTCGGTACAAAAAGCTGGCACACAATAACTAAACCGCTACTGCGGTTATTATTTTACATGTAAATTTCGAATTTCGATAGTTTTTTTTTTTTGTTCTTCTCATATTCAAAATATATCTACATACATTTGTATGTGTGTTTGTGTGTGTGCATATAATATTTCTCAAATAGTTAAAGCATTTTTCTAACCAAAGATTTTGCATGGGCACTTATTTGACAACAAAAGACGATCTAGATGTAGATGAACCTTAAATTAAATTAAATTAAATTGCTACAATTTCTAGCTTACAATCAGTGCGCGGCCCTTTTAAGCAACCGTAGTATAGGCACCTCTGAAAAGGGGAACCCCTCAAGTACCAGCGACAAACTTAGATCTAAGAAACAAAACTTTATAACTAGAAAGTTCCCGGGCACAAGACTTTTCTGTCGTTTGAAATTGAAACAGGGAAAAACAGAAGGAAACTAAATGCAACTTAGGTCAAACCTAGAACGAGACTACAAAACATATTTAATATATATGTACTTGGGGGGGGGGGGTGGGTGCAAAGCACAGGCCTAGACAATCTTCATGGGCACATCGATGAGGCAGTCCGCCTCGAGCCGTCCCAGCGTCTTCTTGACGCGCAGTGCGGTCAGTCGCACTGTGGGATTGGGATGCCAGCACTCCAGCATTATCTTGGAGATGGTGGCCAGGACATCGTCCTCCTGCCAGCGCAGTGGTATGGGCGGCCGGAAACCCTTCACACACACAACGGCGTGCATGTCCTCGAAGGTGGGATCCGATGGCACCACATCGTGATAGGGCAGTGCATAATCCTCGCAGGTTGTCGTCTTGGTGCCCGAAATGGGTGTATAGCAGCGCCGTGCCATCTCCCACAGCACCAGGCCCACCGAGTACATGTCCGCCCGCTTGAACTCCTCGAACTGCTGGGCATTGAGCGCCTGGCTGAGCACCTCGGGGGCCATGTAGCGCCGTGTGCCGACGCGCGTATTCTGCGCAATGTGTATCTCATCCAGCTCCGAGTTGTACTTGACCGCCAGGCCAAAGTCAGCGATGGCGCACTGTCCATTCCGCTTCACCAGTATGTTCTTGCTCTTGATGTCGCGATGGGCGATGGCCGGCTTGCCGGGCGTGCCGAAGATCTCGTCGTGCAGATGGGCCAGGCCCGAGGCCAGGGAGTAGGCCAGGAGCTGCAGCTTCTGCGGATTGATCACCGACATGGAGAGGTAATCGTGCAGGCTGCCCATCTCATGGTAGTCGGTGATCAGCAGCATCTGTGTCCAGCTGCCGTTGCCCTTGATGTCGGCGGCAATGAAGCCGAGTATGTTCTCGTGTCGCATCAGCACCGTCTGGTAGATCTCCGTCTCGCGGAACCACGAAGCCTCCTCGGTGGTGAAGAAGGTCTTCACGGCCACGCGCTCGTCCCGCCACTTGGCCAGCCACACCTCGCCGTAGCGTCCCTTGCCCACCAGTCGCACCATCTGGATCTGCTTGGCGATGGTCCGTTGCACCAGCAGCGGCAGACCCGAGCCGGAGCCCGAGCTCTGCTCCACCAGCTGCGACAGCGGCGACAGCTGCGAGTTGTACATGGAGTTGATCAGGCGGGGCTGCTTGCGCAGCTTCTCCCGCCGCTTGTACGTCAGGCAGAGGGTGGCCACGATCAGCATGAACACGGACAGGCACACGATGATGGAGGCGCACAGGGCCAGCGTATGCACGGACTCGCTGCTCACCGGCAGCTCCGGTGCTGGCGTTGTCATCTTGGGCGTGAATGTGGGATGCAGGTCGCGATTGCAAAGGTCCTCTTTGTCGCAGCACACGATGTTCTTGCCATGCAGGTGCGGTACAGCGGCCACTTTACACTGTAATTGCAATGAAAGAACAAATTTAGTATGGAATTCCTCTTTGTGCATATGCCGCAAACTTACCATGAGTAGGCCGCCATTGTCTTCGGGTGGCATGCAGCCGTATGTGCGCTCCTCCTCGTACATGCCAGTCGTCTCATCGTACAGCTCCTGGACGGCACTGAAGCAGCTGCCGCCGGGTCGCGTCTCGCAGGTGCCATTGCTGACATTGCCCGGACAACTGCCATCGCAGTAGCAGGTCAGGGAGCGGGCTGTAAGTGAAAGAGAAAGGAAGAGTTAGGAATAAGTAATGGGCTCACATGGGCTAAGCATATATCTAATGGGCACAAACTGTAGAGGTATATGTGCAAATAGAAATTCTCAGTTAATTCTCTCTCATATTTAAACGAGATTTAGCTCGTTGCACAAGCGAAAAAATCACAAGAAAATAAATAAGAAGCAAAAAAATAAATAGTAAAAAAAATAAAAATAATTAACACACACAAATTGCATGTCCTGTGCATGATTAAGAAGATTGCTGTGCAACCCATTCCCTTCCTACTGCTATTCCAATATTAAATACTAAGAAAATTCTATTATTACTATAAATACTTCTCATCAGCAAAAATCCAATTTATTCAAATATATTGTGTACCTATCCAATACACCACTCTGCATAATCAATACAATGAAAAAGCCGATTACTGTCCGAGTGGCGCATAAAAATAATAGCAAATCCAATCACTGTTTAAGCTTCTTCCCATAACAATATACTTGCATGGAAACGCGCTCTGAGCCGCTGTAAATGCATTCTGGGGAGGGGAACTGCACAATCAATTACCATCATAAAGCCGATTACTGTCCACCCAGTGATTCTCAGAGAATACTTAGATCAATAATCGTTTATGCAACTGCAATGGTAGCCCGCTGTATCGATCAACTTTAAGATCGTAAATGTTGCACTAACTATCTAAGCAAATCGCTCTGGACTCGAGCTCAAGCTCGAGCGTGGGCTGATATGTCTGATGCTAAGTATTATCCCTGGCCAACGTCAATCCATTATGAGGCAAATATGCACTTTAAATGCTGGCAAAACGCTCGCAAGCCACAGCTGGATGGCCACTTAAAATGCACTTGAGCTTTGAAGCGTGGGCTGACTGTCGTCGTCGTATCTCTGGCATTATCCCTTACCCAAAAGCTGCGCTAATAATCCAACCCAGGAATCAATCAATTGTGTTAAGCCCCCCAACTGTCCGGCAAAGCGATTAAAAACGCTGGCAAACCGCGCGCGACGCACTCTACCATGAAAATGCGTTTGAGCATGAAGAGTTGGAACCGCTGGACGGAGGGGTGTGGTGCGGGGCCAGGCCTGAGGGTAACGGTAACTCGGGCAATTGATTCAGGTCGCTGGCAAATCTGCAACTAATTACAAGCTCGTTGCAAGTGGCTGCTGTTGCCTGCCTGTTGCTGGCTGCTGTTGCTGGCTGCTGTTGCTGGCTGCTGTTGCTGCTTGTTGCCTGTTCGGTAGCTGCTTGGCTGCCTCTGTGGCTGCACTTGGACAACGCTTGGACGGCTGCGTCTTTGGGGCTACAGCTTTACAGTTATGGGTGGGCGTTCGGAGTATTGGGCATATGTTCGAGTATGCGCGTTTTATGGCCATTTGCCGCATGCGACAGGCCAACTGGAAGCACAGGAGGAGGCGGCACTCGTTGCATGAATGAGCTACGGCCACTTGTTGTACTCTCTCCGGGAAAAAAAGGAGACACCGCAATAGCAATCTCTCTCTCTCTATTTACTGTGCAAGGGTACACAAATATTCGTTAACTGCAGCTGCAGCTTTTCCGCTGTGAATATTTTGTTTTAAGTTCGTTTCGCTGCGGTTCGATTTGGCTGAGTGCGCGAATGAGTGGGTGGCTGTGTGGCTGTGTGGATGTTCCCATGGCTGGATCCCGTAGCCTGCACCCCGACCTGCTCAATATCTTTAATATTTAATTGCAGACGCTGTTACTGGCCCGTCCGTCTCAGTGCAGTTTCATTCATAAAAACGCATTTAATGCCCGCCTGAATGTGCCATATTTTTTATGGCTTAAAGACAGCGTCTGTGCGGGGGTGCTGTGCCTGTGTTTAACACTATTTTTAGACACATTTTATAGCGCACTCGACTATTTATATGTCGTAAAGTGTTGCGCTCATTCGTTCGTGCAGCAATCGTTTAAAGAAGCGCCCAAATGGCAGATACACTTGCAGCGTTCCCCAACCAAACTTCGCATTTTGATATTGGATTCTGTTTGTTTATTCGTTGGGCTGGGAACAACAAGCGCTCAGGTTACCTTTCTTTGCCCAGTTTTTTATGCTTGTTATGTGATGCCAGAAACAAACAAACATCCCGCAAAGACACTCAAAAACATTCCCACAAAATGGAGATCGGGGGGCCATAGAATGATCTCCTAAACCAGTTAAAGATACATTGCTAGTGATTAATGGTTTGTGCATTTTTGTGGCACAAACAATGAGACACACGGACATGCTTCAAGTTTTTTTTTTTTTTGGTGGCAATTGCATTTGACGGATACCCGCGATTCGAGTGCGAGAGCGAGTCGCGAGTCGCGTGTCTTCAAGGCTGTTTGCAGATATTTGACGGCATGCCAATTGCAGCCACTCACAGGTACAGGTACAGGTACAGGTCCGCAGATACAGCTGTGCCACTAGATACTTTTGTAGCTGCAGCAAACAGCAGAAACAGAGCGCATGCAAAATGCGAAACAAATCAACAAATTGGCGGATGTTGTTTGCATCTGACCACGCCTCCCATCAGCAGCCACCAGCAGTGCCTTCGCGAGATAATAATTTAATTACAATTTAATAGCAAACGACAGCAGCTGCCAGCAGCAGCAACAGCAGCAGCAGCCCGCGAGGCGGTTTGCTGGCTGTTTTTATCGCGCCAAACGTATCTGGTATCTGATGTCTGGTGTCTGGGGGGAGGCTGGGCGAAAACGTGACTGCTGCTGCCAAAGATATTTTCAATTGTATTTCAACTTTCATTGTCGCATTTATACATATATTATTCACATCTGCCATACCTGTTGCTCCCCTCTACACCTCTCTCTCTCTCCCACTCTCTTGTTCGCGCTGCCTGGATGCTGCCTCTACCAGGGAGCAGCAACGAGAATCGATCCACGTAGCACAGTAGCCCCTTGCGGTGCAGACAAATTATGAATTTTTGTACACACAGCAGATCCTGCAGCAGGGCCACCAAACAAACAAAAAAAAAAAAACGAGTCAAAAGCAGAAGGAAAAACCAAATTATGAAACGCGCCGCGGACGAAGGCATCCGCCAGACAACGTCGCCGCAGCTGAGGGGGGGTAGGGCAGGAGGAAACGAGGAAGACGTCGCGCTTTGAAATCAAATTGTTGCCTCGTTGCTGCTGCAGGGGCAAGGCAATGTGGCGGCTCCAAGTTGGCGCCAAGTGCACGCGCTTGCCACTCAACAAAACCGACAAACACAACACAAAACAAAAGCAAAAGCAAAAGCAAAAAAAAAACGTATCTGAAACTTGCTGGAAGGCCCAGGAACAAAGCAATCTTCAGGTTGCTCATGTCAGTGTGTGTGTGTGTGTGTGTGCGTGTGTGTGTGTGTGTGTGTGTGTGTTAGCTGTTCGCAATAAACAACAATATTTATGTGAAACTCTTTCAAACACGAAAAGGAAATTGCAGCAAGATGCCCCCACAACATGAGGAGGACAAGGGCAAACAAATAACAGAACAAAAAAATCATAAAATCATAAAAATAAACGTTCCAATCATAAACGATTTATATATTCGTACAAAAACTGCAGACAATCAGAACCAAGTTTAGTCGATCGAACTATAAGCGCTAAGCAAAGAAAGAGCAGCTTTTTCTCTGGTATGTCAGCCCTTTTCGACAGCTTAATAGTTTGATTAGCAGCTTAGTAAATCAATTGCTAAGTTAAGCCAACAGCTAACCCAGTAAGATAAGTGCTTCAACCTTATTTGATAACAGACGTACTTTTATTTGAGGCTAACTCAATTTGTTCAATGATGTTTGTGCGAGTGCTTAAGATTTGATAAGAAACTTATCTGGCTTCGAAATATATGTGTGTGCCATACGAATTTTAATTCAATTAGAGGTGCCACAGCAATCGCCGCCTCTATCTATCTGGCTGTGTGCTGTTCGACTTTTGGCGATATCTTTGACACTACTTCTCACATAAGGAAACTTGAGTGAATGTTTTCGCTTGTTCAGTTTTTCCTGCCAGCTATTTTTCTCATGAATTTTACTTTAGTTTCCAAGCCCATCTAAGCCTGTCTCATTTCAGAGTTTCCATTTACAAGCCAAAGCGCCGCATTGATTGCCATTTCTGTCGTAGAAGCAGGGGGGGCCGGCCACATTTGGTCAGGCAATCCCCCCGCCACCTCCCACCCCACAGAGACTACGACATTGACCCGCAACGTAATTACTTTATATGGATTGCAATTTTAATTAGTCTTTGCAACGCAGCGAGCAGCTGCTTGGCAAAAGCCATTAACAGTGCTCTGCAAGAGTAAAATATCGAGCAGGCAATCGTTGAATTCTGTGCATCTTTGATGATCTGGGAAGCTGGGAAATATTCAAGATCAACGTTCTATAAATTGGCTGGGTTTTATGGTTTTGCAACGCACTGTCGTCTGTTGCATATGGGGAATATTTTATGGCATGATTCAGCTAACGATTTCCGCTGCCAACGCTGCTGCTCTCTCTCTCTCTCACACACACATACGCACACATGGGTGCAGCAGTTTCCCCCACAATCCGTTCATCATCATCATCTTCTCTCTCTCTTCTCTGGGTCTGTGGGCTGTGGGCTGGGTCTTTAGATGTGGCTGTGGGCGTGGATCGCCTGCCGCCTCACTGTCGTGATCGTGCCGCAAAACATCGCTAAAAATATCTATTCTATGGGCTCCGCCAAGCTGCAGCTTGAGCTGCCATCCATCTCTTCCTCATTTGCTTTGGAATGCTTTTTGCCACCGCTTTAGACTCTGCCACAACGCGAGATCTGCTATGCAAAACAACCCAAGAGTCAGTCAGTCATGTGATTGCTATATATACTGGCAATAGGTATACAAATCTCTCTCTCTCTCTCTCTCCCGCCACTCTACGCTACTTGTACGTAGTACAATCAGGTGGTGTGAGCTCATCAATGATCTAAACAGCAGCGCCCAACTCAATCCAAACAAAATCAGCGGGCAAACTGCAGGCCATCGACAACAACAA